CCATGTTCGATGTACGGCTTGATCAGGTAATCAGATATCAGAGCTACAATCCTAAGGAAAGATTGATGAAAATCACACATTCCCAGGAGAGAAACTTAATTATATACTCTTCCAAAATACATGTAAGCCTGTATCGCAGAGATTTAATATTCTCTGTGTAGTATTGCTAACCTATGTGCCGTTAGCAGAACAGATTAATACTAACTCTTGGTGCTGCCTAGAAACCTTTAATAATAATGAATTAAAAAAAAAAAGTATCCCCTCTTGATTACCAAGCAATTGCTATGACTAAGGCTGCTTAAGTCAGTAGCTGAGATTTCCACAATCACCCCAGACTGAAGAATAATATTCCTAGGTTTCCAGCAACCAGAGTCCTTTAGAACATAAAATGAAACGTCAAACACTTTAACTTCCAAATGTCAGACAAGATTTTGTGTAATAATACAGTGAACTTCAGTGCTAGGTTACTAGGTTAGTGCTGGGCTGGCCCTGCCCAGCACTAATTCGTGTTATGACAGTGCAGTAGAGTGCTGCCTATCTAATGGAGGGTATTTATTACAACTTACTGTATGTATACTCCATTGAGTCAAAGGTATATTAAACTTCATGGAGGGAGGAAATCTATCTATTCAAATAGGGGGGGTTTTTTGTGCTTGACAAAGTGCATGTTCTTAAAATGAATGCAGGAATGTTTCCTGTGGTGTTTATAGATTGAGATAAAAATTGGATTAAAATAATTATCTAAATAGACTAGTGAGGAGTGCTGCCAAGTGTTTAAGACAGTCAGCAGGCTAGTCAGGGAGAAAAGAATGAGAACCATTATAGTGTTTGTGATCCGTGCTTTGCAAATCTAACAACCTATTTACGTAGAGCTTTAAAGGTCACATGAAGCCCAAAATGCAGGTTTGTTTTTAAACACTTTAGTGCAGTAGAAATGTTTCACTGATTCTATTTATTCCAGTGGAAGCAGTTTATAAAACATTGTACCAAACACAGCCGCATTGTACTAGCGCATAAGAACCTGGTGGTGAAAAAGTCTAGAAACAAACGTGAAATGGGCTTTTCGTTGTTTGCTTTTCCTGCAGCTTGTACAACAAACAAAGTTTCAAGAATGAGAAAGGAATTAGATTGTTTTAAATGGATACGTTACCACTGTTTGCCTCCTTTTGTACAAATGCTGGACATGAAGGGAGTAGCAAAAGGATGGTTTTGTTTCCCAGCCCTGAGCCCAAATTCCTGAGTCACATAACCTCAGCTTCAGTGTCCCCATCTCCAAAAAAAAAAAAAAAAAAAGGGGGGGGGGGCAGACAAATTGCCTTTACTTAACATTATGTAGTAAATTTAATCTCCAGAATGCGTTACAAGTAGATGTTGTTAGTTATTAATGACTGATAGGCCAGTTCGGGAATGCTGTGTTAACAATGGCAGCTCAGAGCAATTCACTCTTGCAAACATTTAATCTGTCCTTTGTTTGAGCTTTCATATTATTCATGGTTATTTGTTTCTTTACATCCCACCATTTCCTTGTGTTCAGATGAGAGACTTCAATAAAAATAGGGGGCTAGTAAGTTGATACATTCTAGGCACAGAGCAGCCCACGAAAGCTTATGCTCTAATAAATTTGTTAGTCTCTAAGGTGCCACAAGTACTCCTGTTCTTTTTGCGGATACAGACTAACACGGCTGCTACTCTGAAACCGGACAGATTACAGTGAGAGCAATGAGAAAGAAAAAGCCCTCTGGCATAAAGAAAGCAGTCCTGTCTAGGGGACAGAGCAGGAGTTACATTTTACCTAGTAACCAGGTTCCTGAAATACACAGCCCCAGGGACTTCTAAGGAAAAACGTTGGACTTCCAAAGAAAGAGAATTGTTAAAAGCTGCATTGTTTGAGTGTCATTCCCCACTGTTTCTTCACTGTGGCCGAGGAAATGTATTGAATGCTGTGCAGGAAAAGAACTGCGTCTGGAAAGCTGAGGCTTATAATTGCCCTGCTCATTGATAAATATTTCCTAGAGGGTGTAATGGGCTTTATAAAATAAACTTCCCTCCAGGAGTTTGGGCCAAGTGCTGTCATCAGAAGCAGCAAAAAATAGTAGCCCTAATTAAATTAAACGTGTTTTCCATTGTTTTCTCTTTGTCTAACTTGTTTTATGCTGGTGTCCTGCATGGCAAATGCAGGAATAAACAGTGCTGTGACCTTCCTTTCAGCAGTGCTGTATTAATACTGCTCTTATCAGAGTTAGGTAATTTGTTCTGTATGGCCAGGACTCTGTCATGCCCTTTGTCTTGTGTGGCGCTTGTTTTACAGCATAAGCTGTGGGGAAGGAGCATGACTGGTAGAAAGAGAGCAAACTTTTGCATTGTCTACATCTCTAGCACTTTTTGCTCCATACAAAGCAGCAGCTATGAGCTAGGTTGTATGTGAAAATGGGATTGCTCTTCTATAATTACACAACCGAGTCCAGTGGGTAAGATGGAAATTCATGCTTTCGGATATTGCCATCCATGTGCAGGCTTGCATTAATGCTTTACTTTGAATGCTATAAAAATGAGCTGTCCCTTTAATATTTTTTTCATGCCTTGGATGATGTCATGTTTTTATTTCTCACCCCCAAGCCTGATGCAGGGATAATGCCTTTCCTCTTGAAGGGGAGGAGTTACTGAGTAATTACATGATTCATGGTTTCAGGTAGTGACTAGTGAGCTACCTTCAGACAGTTGGTTAGTTTTGCTGGACTCAGATCAGAACAAGAGCTTGGCTTTTAGTAGAGCGGTTGTAGGCATGTTAACTCTTCTTTGTGGAAGCCATGCACTGGGAAAATTTATTGCAGCTCAGAAAAGCCAAGGTAGGCTAGATGAGAGACAGCACATTCTTGTACTTGCGGGGTGGAGGGCAGGGAGTGCAAAATCTAAAGGGATTTTCAACTCTAAGGGTTCAGTATTTTCCATTTTATTAGGAAGCTAAATGTAACAAACACTTTTCTTCATTCTCCTTTTGCACTTTGTTGCCAATGTAGATCAGTATATGTCTGCTTTGTGAATTAACTTATATTGCTTCCTCCTGTGGATAACTTCAGTGTCTGCTTCTATATATTGCCATCTCTGCAAATCCATGGGGTGTGAACATTTATGGCTTAAATCAATATGCCTGTTCAAAGATGTTAAAGGAAACCTGCCTGTAGGCATCGAAAGTCGTGTAGTCTCTCCTCAAAAAATCATCATGTTTGTGTACAGACATACTGTATACACTTGGTAGGCAATTTTAAGGATACCAGGTAGAATTTTCAAAAGTTACTAAGAGATTTAAGAGCCAGTCTCATTTTCAAAAGTGATTTAGGCACTTAGGAGCAAAACAGAATCCTAAATGCATGTCACTTTTGAAAATGGGTCTAGACTCCTAAATCTCTGACACTTTCAAAAATGTTAGCCTACATTAAAACCAGCTTCCACCTCCTTGAAGAGTTGTAACAGTGCATCAATTAGTTGTTAGTTTCTTTTGATTAACTACAAAGAGTTGTCAATTTCCTTTTCTTCCAAAGTGAAAAGTCTTGAACAGACTAGTGGTTGGTGCTCTACACTTAGAGATGTGTTGTGATGTCCCCTTACAAAGTGCATACAAACAGTAAGAATGTTGAAAGGGACCAGATAATGGAAACCAAGACTGAGGCAGGAAAAACACTGAGAACATGGGTTGTTGATATTGGAGATTCTGTAGTGAAAATAAATTTTATGCTTTTATTTTTCTTCAACATTAAGACATTTTTTCAAAGGCGAATATGTTGGAGTCTCTGTTTCTGGTTACTAAGCAAATTGCCATTAATGTGTATATAAGTGCTGTTAGTACTGAGAAGAAATACTTTAGAATTACCCGTTCACTTTTATTGCTATTGGTATGTTGGATAGTTACCAATAGTGCTTTTTTGCAGATCGCAAACAGTCTGCCCCGGCTTGTTTTTCAACTCGCTTCATTTCATTGTATGATCCAAACCAGTCTTAGTCTTGGCAGAATAAAAAATATATAGTAATAAAGTCTGAATTCAGAAAGAAAAGTGTGATGCTTCAACTCAAGGGCACTGGTCCGTTCCTGTTCTGAATGAAAACAAGGCTTGGCACTTTTTCTGTCTCATAATTGTTTAAAATTTATTTACTGCAAGGCATTAAGAGTTTTAAAGAGTCCAAGTAAATTATATTTTTGAAACGCTGGCATTTCAGGCCATGATCTGTTCCCCCTGCAGGAGAAGGAGGGTGTGCACTCACTTTAGGACTTGATTTGAGCGCTTTATTGTTATGATAATAGCACGTTTTGCAGAGCTGAGAACATGAAGTATACGTGTGCATATTTTCAATGGCCTACCTTAAGTAGTTCTTATTTCTTGTTCTCTGAATTGCAGTGTTGTCACTTGCATTTATTGCAGCAATAAAAATTGTTGTGTCAGGAATTGCCTCCGTTCAGTATAATGTATTTGAAATATGTGGCTTTTGGCCTACCATTGTTCTCCTTTCTTTATATTTCTCCCCCAGCATTGATACACTACATCCTATAGATCAGTCCCTACTTCTACCTCCTCCTTCCCCCCCCCCCCCATATTCCCCCCAAAAGAACCCTCCTTAAGCAGTTGGCTTTTTGAAGGCTGCATCATTTTTTTAGCACAATTGATTGAGGTGGCTTTTGAGCATCATCCCTTTAGATGCCCATGAACTACATAGGGCTCACAAATGCTCTTCTCCCCACATTGTAGGATGGGAATAAAAGCGAAATGGAAAAATGAGATGTGGGTGACAAGATGGAAATGACTGATTTTAAAAATCAAAGTTAGAGTAACTTTGTGTACTGTAGAGTTTTCTGTGCAGTATCAATGACTCTAAATAAAGTTTTTAGTTTTTAAGATCTTGGAATGCAGTTTATGATCATTGACTGTTACTGCCCAGCAAAGTGGATGGTTTTTGAATTAGGAGAGCCAATGTTTTTTAACCTTCATATTCTTTCCCCCTTTGTCTAGATCGAGCGGTCAGAAGTAAGCAGCCTAGCACAAACCCCTAATGCAGTGGCCTCAAGCACTGATGGCAGCATCAATGCAGATTCTGTTGATGGGACCCCGGATCCACAGCGGACAAAAGTAGCCATCACTCACTTGCAGCAGAAGATACTGAAGTTGACAGAGCAGATCAAAATTGAGCAAACAGCCCGGGATGACAATGTGGCAGAATACCTGAAACTAGCCAACAATGCTGACAAGCAGCAGAGCGCCCGCATCAAGCAAGTGTTTGAGAAGAAGAACCAGAAATCGGCCCAAACCATTTTGCAGCTGCAGAAGAAGCTAGAGCACTACCATCGGAAGCTTCGTGAGGTTGAACAAAATGGAATCCCTCGGCAGCCAAAGGATGTCTTCAGGGATATGCACCAGGGCTTGAAGGATGTGGGAGCAAAGGTCACTGGCTTTAGTGAAGGAGTTGTAGACAGTGTTAAAGGTGGGCTTTCCAGCTTCTCCCAAGCCACACATTCGGCAGCAGGGGCTGTGGTCTCCAAGCCCCGGGAGATTGCCTCCCTGATAAGGAACAAATTTGGGAGTGCGGACAATATTGCTAATCTAAAGGACTCTTTGGAAGAGGGTCAGGAAGATGGGAAGACTCTAGGTGTTATTCATAACTTTCAGTCAAGCCCAAAATATGGTAGTGAGGAGGACTGTTCAAGTGCCACATCTGGTTCAGTTGGAGCTAATAGCACCACAGGGGGTCCAGTGGGAGCTTCTAGCTCCAAAACAAACACTCTGGATATGCAGAGCTCAGGGTTTGATGCAATACTACATGAGATTCAAGAGATCCGAGAGACACAGGCAAGACTGGAAGAATCCTTTGAGAACCTTAAGGCTCACTATCAGAGGGATTATTCGTTAATAATGCAGGCTCTGCAAGAGGAGCGGTACAGGTAGGCATTTTATTAATTAGTCCCCATATTAAATACTGAGGAGTTACAGAGCAGTAAAAATCTAAAGCACTCGGCGGACTATAAACAGTTTAGGGCAGGCAATGTATTGTGCCTTTCCCAGGACAGTGCTAACTGAGTATACTTGTGTAGTGGAAATTCCATCATTATGTTCCCAGTATAGAAATCAGGGTTAGAAATTGAGACAGTGGGAATGCTTTTGTGTAGTGCAGATCTGCATTTATCTTTTTAGAATATTTTGGGTGGAAATATCTATCTCCAGGAAGCCACCCTGCAATACTTGTTAGCTTCACAGGGAAACGTTCTCTGTGATCTTCTGTACCAGTCCAAATGTTCTGGTTATAATTCTTCCCAGCCAACAGATGGAGACAGAATAAGAAGTCTTTTATGACACATCCCCTTATAACAGGGCCCCACTCTGCCCTTGTCCTCTTCCCTTCAGAAACTGCACGGACTCCACTGGTTGTGCTCTCAGTGAAACTTTATTTCAAATCCCCTTCACCAAGATCACCACAATCTCCCATGCTACCGCCTATTTACAATATTGGCTGGTCTTTAGCCCTCTCAGCAGGACCTGAGGGGAACAGAAGTCTCCCCATTCTGAGGCCTCTGTATGACTCGACTCAGCTAGCCCTGTTCCTCCCTCTCTCCCCCTGTCCTTCCTTCTTGTATATCTTTTATCAGCCCTGGTCTGAGGGGGCCAATTGAGTTCTGCCCCACCCAGCCCACCAGCCTGATCAGTTAGTTGCCTCCAGTCAGCTCCTCCTGGGGCACTACTTAGCATCTAAATGACCAGAGAGCAGGCTCACTCCCTGCAGTGTGTGTCACCTCTATATGTGGGTCTGGCCATCTCTTGAGCTTCACTTAATTGGAAGACCTATATCCATCAGGCAGACTGCTAAAAGTCAGAAAGCAGCCCCAGAGGCGTAGAACCCCTTCGCCATACATCTGTATATGAAGCTGCTACTATAGCCTGTGAGGAATCAGTGGCCTATGGGACCTACATGCTCCAAGCTTCCTCTCTGATATCATGGCTGAACTGAACAAGAGAGCCGGGGCCTTCTCCAGCATGTGCATAGGCTGCTAGGCCCAAACCTAGCAAGCATTGCAGTATCCTTCCAGAGGCACTGGAACTAGAAGTGCTGGGGGTGCTGCACTATAAAAATTGTTCCAACGCCACTGTATCCTTCCGTACAAGCTGAGGATTTTGAGTTTTGAATCTGTCTCCTTTGTTCCTATGTTATGAGACAGGGAGAACAGAAACTCTCCATTTACAATATTTATACCATTTGTTATTTTATATACTTGTTCCCTTGTCATCTCCCTTCTCAGATAAACAATCTCTCATCAGGGGGTTTTTCCATGCCTCTAATTGTTCTGTGCCACACTCTGAATCAGTCTAACTCTGCAGTATACTTTTTGAAATAGGGTAACCAGATCCACGCATGAAATTATAGGCAAGACCTCATGGTTGATTTATATAACATTTTCTATGTTCTCCATCCCACTTTTATGCATCCTGGTGTCTTGTTTGCCTTTTGACTGCGACTGCTCATTGAGCAGAAATCTCCACTGAGCTGTGTACACGGATTCGTAGGTCCTTTTCTTGAGTTGATGCAGTTAATTTAGAAGTAGTATGAGTAGTTCAGAATTTTCCCTCTAGTGTTCCTTACTTTACCATTTATCAACATTGAACTTCATCTGCCATCATGTTGCCCATTCACCTCTGAAGTTCCTCATGGTCTTCTCGGACTTGACTGTCATAATAATTCCTATAAATTCTGCCCTCACTGCTCCGCTCCTCTTTCCTGATCAAGAAGCGAATAGCAAGGAAGAGTCTCCCCTTACAGAGCCCCTCCAAGATAAGCAGTTAACTAAAGAGGGTTTGGAGGCAAATGTACTTCAGGACTAGTGCTCCTTACCTCAGTTGTAGCTATCGAACCCCTGCTGTCCCCTGCAAAAAACTGTACCTGCTCCCAGGTAAGGTAGAAGAAACCCTGCCTCCTCCAGCCATTCAGACGAGGACCTGCATCTGGCTAGGAAAATGGGAGCAGTGAAGCCTAACCCCAACCCTTCCTCCGATATGTCCAGCAGCTCCCTCAGAAGGCATGCTATTGTCAATGTATCCAAAGACCAGGGTTCTGTGCCCCCCTGCTCCACAGTGGCAAAGGAAGGTTAAATAGAATGTATTGTCAATCATTCCACACAACAGTTGCATTCCCACTGCAGAGACGGTGTGGAAGCAGAGGGTATCCCTGTAGTTTACATATCTCGTGTCCGCCACTTTGCAGGGGCAGAAGGGAGGTGGAGCCATTCCAACAGCAGTGTCTCCTACCCTCCAGTGCCTTAAGCTCTACAGAGTATCAGCCAAGGAGGAGAAGGTGGAGAAAGCCACAGCAGGGAAGTAGTGGGTACCATGGCTGCACTCCAAAGGCCTCAGTGGAGCAACCCGGAGGGGTGGCAGCTATTGCAGCAGCACCTCCTTCAGCCAGTGCCACTGGTAGAAAGAAAAGGGTGCCGAAAGGAACCCACTCCTCTCCATCAGTTACAGGCTTCACCTACCAAAGCCAAGTAGTCTCCCCATCAGAACACGTTGGATCTTACCCCTCACACTCTAGGACTCCTCCCCAGCAGTATCTTGCTATGGCTTTGTAGGCAGGTCCCCTGCCAGCTTCTCCAGGCACCAGAGCCCAGATCTAATGGAATTCTTGGGCTGTGCCTTCTAGGGTCTCTGAGAAAAACAAGAAATGCGAGGGGACCCAACTCTTCACCCCAAAGGGGAGGACAGCAGCCAGGGATTAGTGTAGATTTGCACCATGTCTTCAGCATCGCCTTCTAGCTCTCTTAAAGATGCTGGTGTCCTGGAAGCCATGTGAAAGAGTTTAGGTTACTGTAATCTTGAAGTGGCAGTGAGTTTTCTGTATGTTTTGCAAACCTGGATGGCCAAAGCCAGTGTCATTATCAAATTCTCTTTTGTTGTGATCAGGCTTTTGCGTGATACCAGAGCCCAGCACAAGAGCTTGTTTCCAGTGCTCATTATTAGGGCCCTATCAAATTCTCGGTCCATTTTAGTCAATTTCACGGTCATAGGATTTTAAAAATCGTAAATGTCGTCATGATTTCAGCTATTGAAATCTGAAATTTCATGGTGTTGTAATTTTAGGGGTCTTGACCCATAAAGGAGGGAAGGGGGTTGTGAAACTGCTTCCCTTACTTCTGCGCTGCTGCTGGTGGCGGCGCTGGCTTCAGAGCTTGGCAGCTGGAGAGCGGTGGCTGCTGGCAGGGAGCCCATCTCTGAAGTCAGCACCACCACCAGCAGCCACACAAAAGTAAGGATGGCATGGTATGGTATTGCCACCCTTACTTTTTCACTGCTACCTGCAGAGCTTGGCCCTCAGTCAGCAGCTGTCACTCTCCGGCCACCTAGCTCTGAAGGCAGCAGCACAGAAGTAAGGGTGGCATGGCATCGTATCGTATTGCCACCCTTACTTCTGTGCTCCTGCTGGTGAGGCGCTGCCTTCAGAGCTGGGCGCCCGGCCAATAGCTAAATCACAGCAAACCAGACTAGTTCATTGTAGTAATTCTGACTACTGAATTTATTATTAAAACCTACCACTTAATTGACCTTTTAAAGCATCCGGAAGATAGAAGCTAACACTTCTGTGAGAGGAGAAAACTGAAGCAGAGAGGCTAAATACTTTGCCCAAGGCCATAGAGGAAGCCACTGTCCTAGCTCAGATTAGAACTCGGGAATGCCTGACTCCTAGTCCTGTGTTTGGACGGTTAGTCCACTCTTTTTCCTTAAAATAAATCCTCCAGGGAAGATGGAGAGACAGATTGTGGTTTAATTTATCAGGCTGGGGATTTGTATTGATCATACCTGGCCTTAAAAGCTATGACTAGCTAACAGGTGTGTGCTATTTCTGGAGAACCTTTCAGATACTAGCACAAAGTGCAGATGTTCTAAAATACTTCTTAATTTAAAAAAAGAGAGAGAGAGAGAGAGAACCTCTTGCTGAGTGTTTACATCTGTCTTGGCAGTTGGAAGAATACAAGCGCCATAATCTTTTTCCATCAAACTTGTGTCCAGCTCAGTCTTCTTAAATTCCTCCCCACCCCAACCCTTCTTTGCAGGTGGATGGCCTTTGTTTTATGTTGCCTTAGTTTCTATTTACCAGCCAATACTTACCCTGCAGGTTTTCCATGACCTGCCTGATTCCCTCCCCTTTTCAGCTCTTGACTATCAATATAGCTCTTGTGCTAACTAGCCCTGGGGTGGGGTGGTATTAGTGCAGTCTCTCCAGTTCTTCCTGTGTCTGTCTTTTTATTTCCCCTGCACTGCAGGTTGCTCCAGCTGTCCCAGTGTACACATTGCCAAGGCTATGTGAAAGCCTGTGCTACCTGCCCATTGGCCAGCTGATATGGCCTCAGGCAGTTTAACCACTCCTCTTAGAATTGAATCATCGAGAAGGGAAGATCCTGCTCTGGTCCTCTGCAGTCCTTCTTTTTCAGCTGGAACAAACTCCAAAATAGCCTGTTGCTTATCTCATCCTTTGAAAGGTGGCAGTTGTTTACTGAGAGAAGCAGGGACTTTCCGTTCTGTAGAGAACCCGAAATAAAGCTCCTGCTGAGTTTTTTTTCATGGTTCCTGTCCCATTCGGGGAACCTGTTTGCACACAGCAAAATCATGAGCTCATATAGTTGGGATGTGTCCAGCTCACTGGTGGGGGGGGGGGGGAGGGAGTGTTTAAGCCACCATCACTGGAAAGTACAGTTAGCTCTCGCAGGATCCTGCTATGAGAAACCCATCGACCAAAATGCTACAATATTATACGTTAATTTTTGTATCCGATTCTTTTGTCGTTAGAACTGGTTGGACCTCATACTAATTATATTTGTTTAAAAGACTGCTGGGATAACCTTTGACTTCTAGAACTACTGGGCCAGATTTTCAGTTTTATGTTTGGCGAGTAAAAAGCCCATTGAGGATTAGCACAGATGAGGCAGCCAGATGTGTCTGATAAAGGAAAATTATCACATGGATGTTGCCACCCTCACATACGTTGTGTGTGTATGTGTATAGAGAGAGAGAGAGAGAGAGAGCCCCTCTTTACAGATGACTTTACAAGGGACAAAATAAGGCATTTACTTTGTAATACCACCTAATCTAAACTTCTCTATCTTTTCTCAAATAAATTTTGGCTCCCAGCGTTTTTGTCATAAGACCAACTCTTCATCTTTTCCAATGTGATAGACCAAAAAACCCCCAACTCTTAAACTCACAGATGTTACAAACAAAATAGGAAATGAAAATCAAATAAACAGAGTAAGCTTAGTCCCAATCAGTAATCTAAAATCTGTGTATTGGATAATTGTTGAGCTGGAGTATGGGAACAAATCAATCTGCAAAAGCTGTGGATGGCTCCTTCCTGTAAGTGGGGAAAGCATTGTTAAGTTAGCAAGCAGGAGTCACGTGACATTCATTTTGGTTTCGGAATAAACCAGTAGCCCTGCATTCCAGGGTCCAGGAAGCAGGGTGCCAGCTTCTTTGCTAATTATGTTAGCCCAAATCCTGAGGTTTACAGATTTGCAGGGTTTTCTTATGTTTCCGGTAGATTGATATTTGTTCTGAAGTTATCCAAATCCAGTTGTTTGTAATAAAACAGGATTTAAGATTCTTGGCAACAACTGTTCTATGGTGTATGTCTCTTATAAAGACATAATCACTATATTTTTTGTAAAAGTTCAAGTCCCTTTTGGTTTAACAAACCTTTTGGAAAAGCTTGAAATTTAAAGTATTAACATGCAGGATACTTTTCCTCCTAATTTATGCTGCACGTAGGGGTTTGTGTTGATTTGTTTTGGTGGGGGAGGGGTGTTAATTTAGATCCTAAGTGCTTGGCTGGTGGCAGACTGTTTTTTTAATTAAGTATTTTTGGGAAAGGGAAGTGGGGTGGGAGCAACCAGCTATATTATAAATAACTGGCCAAACGTTTCACCAATCCATCTCTACATTGCTACTCATGTTGTTTGATTCCCCGGTGCTGACAAGGTGCTTTTGTTGTTTTCCTTTTGTTTTTTCCAATGGTGTATCTTGACAACGAAGATGCCTGGGAACTTTTTTCAGAATGAGCAGCATCAGTCAGTGATGTGCTCTTGCATCCCAACTGGTTGACCATGTATGATTGTCATGTTTGAGACTCTCAGGTACCAAAGCTGTCTGTTTCAACTACAAACTACACCTCTACCCTGATATAACGCGACCCAATATAACATGAATTCGAATATAACGCGGTAAAGCAGTGCTCCAGGGGGGGTGGGGCTGCGCACTCCGGCGGATCAAAGCAAGTTGGATATAACGCGGTTTCACCTATAACGCAGTAAGAATTTTTGGCTCCCGAGGACAGCGTTATATCGGGGTAGAGGCGTATCTTAAAAAGTCAGGTCTTTAAGTAAAGCCCCACTATTTGAGATAACAAACATCTTCTGAGTTTTGTTCTTTTAATTGCAAAAAATTAATGCTAAAGGTATCTCAGGTCCATAGAGTCAGAAGCCCGTGAGTCAGTCAGCCACTATTTGTTAGTGAACCATCAAATATTAACTCTAAAAGGGGAGTAGAAGATTTATGTTGCATTGTGAGTGTTCTCACAAATAGCTACCACTCATGCAGTTGAACCAGTGGTAGTAATGGAGGGAAACTTTAGAGGGGAAAAAAGGCCAGCCTAGACAGTGCCTATGATTTAGGATTTCTGGGTCCTTGTTCTCTGTTTTTCAGTTTACTCTTCAGAAAGTATGTGAATATTTTAACCAAATTCACAGAGGATATTGAAACCTAATTGCTTGTAAAGCACTTTGAAATCTTCAAATGAAAGGGCTATATATAAATGCAAAATACTTCACATTTGAAAGGTTACAATTGCATTGTGGGGTTAGTGCTGCACAATTACTGCATGTTTTGCTAATAGAAGAGACTTTTTTCACCTTTAGGATAACTCACATTTCAAACCTTTGTCCCTGAAATGGGAATCACTTACAGTCCGCTTGCAACTGGAAATCTTAAAAAATGAGCCTACAAGCTAGTGATTTACATGTTCTTCTCATAAATAATAGAACATGGTAATTTTGCCAATCAGACAGAATCACTCTCAGAAGCTAATGGGGAAAAAAATCCATCCATGTGATCTTACATGTAGTGATGTAATGCCAAACAAGACCATCACATTCTCTGACTTAGACATCAGTCTTATTAATTACTGAGTTGTTATCCTCCACGTTACTTCACTGAGTATAACGGGGCGAGGGGGGGGGGAACTGTGTGTTAGTGTTGTATGGAGGGTGATTGGTGATTAAAACACAAGACTGCGACTAAGGAGTTCTGAATTCTATTTCCACTTCTGTCCTTAACTTCCTTTGTAACCTTGGGAAAGTCATTTAGTCTCTCTGTGCCTGTTTCTCCCTCTTTAAAATAGGGCTGTTTGCCTACCTCATGGGCAAGATTTACCTATCTCACAGTGAGGAGGCATAGTTTGTTGTCTGAAATCACTCTGAGATCCACAGAGTGAAGGGGCAAGGAAAACGTAAATAATTTAATATCAGCCATGCTGATTTTCAAGGAAAATCTCCACGATTCATCTCTTGATTCTTGTTGGTGTAATTTTACCTTTGTGTTCTCACTAAAATAACTCCCCTACGTTTCTCACTTCTAGATGTGAACGACTAGAAGAGCAGCTGAATGACCTGACAGAGCTCCACCAGAATGAGATCCTTAATCTAAAGCAGGAGTTGGCCAGCATGGAAGAGAAAATAGCTTATCAGTCCTATGAGCGAGCTCGAGACATCCAGGTTGGTGAGAGGCTGGGCTTAGCAAGTTCCTGCTTCCACTTCAGAATTCTCAAGCACACAGTAGCAATGGCTATATATATGGAGATATACCTATCTCATAGAGCTGGAAAGGACCCTGAAGGGTCGTCGAGTCGAGTCCAGCCCCCTGCCTTCACTAGCAGGACCAAGTACTGATTTTGCCCCAGATCCCTAAGTGGTCCCCTCAAGGATTGAACTCGCAACCCTGGGTTTAGCAAGCCAATGCTCAAACCACTGAGTTGTCCCTCCCCCCTATTTCCCTAGTTTTCCAAAATGTTCTTGGTTCCATGTGTGTGTGTTTTAATAGCAGTATAACAAAGGCTAATGGGAGAGTCATGCACCTTGAGCTTTCAAGAGCACCTTAATCTACCTTTAGCTCTCACAATTCTCTCTCTAACAGTCTTGATGCAGGGGAAGTCATTGTGTATTTGCCAACTATATATGCATGACTGTTCATGTATCCATGTTCAGAGGAACCTGCCCCATCATGGGATTTTTTAGGTTATGGCCCAGTGGGAACGTGCTCCCATTTTTGGTGGTGGCCATAATACAAGTATTTGCACATGTATTGGAAACCAGTTGGCAGAGACATGAGCAGGAAGTTTTTATGGTAGTGTTCCCAGTAGACTGCTCTAGGGCGTGTCACTAATTTTAGAGCAATCAGCACAGATATTGAAGGGAAAACAGTAGCTGGCTTTCTGTATCCATTGTGTTCAGTCAGGAAAAAAATCCATTCTGTTTTTCATGCCCAAATAAGGAGGTGTTTGCAAGAGAAGTTTCTTTCAGTATGTGAAGTATCTAGAGTCCAGTAGCCTGTGGAAACAGGGGATTTACAGAGTTGGAGGAGCTTCTGAAGACAAAAGTCAAGTGATCTGGGAAAGTACCTGGGCTTTAGCTAAGCCTTATAAAGGTCCATTTAGAAACAAGCTCTAAGCTATTTTAAATTCACATTGTTGGTTTAAACAGGCTTCTCAGTTTTGAGGAGAGGACTTGGGATATTTTTTGTGTGTGAGGAGAATTTTAGGTCGAAGTGCAGTCTGTCCTTTGCACAGATGAGTCTTACAAGCTGGTTCCACCAAACAGAGGCAGTGATTTCTTTTGGGCTACATTTGTTGACCCAACTGCACGATTCGTTGAATCAGTTTTGCCTATTGCTTTCCAATTATGTAACCTCTGGGAAGCCCTCGATAAGTTGACCTCCACAGCAATATCAGAGTTTTACGCAATATTGCAGAAATGTAACAAGTAACAATGACCTTTCTAGAGTAAAGCTAAAATAAATAAATGTCTGGGGACAGTGGTACCATGGCCTTTACCCTATCAAATATCAGAATTTCACTTTTAAATGTGCTACAGGGACCCGGCTGTACGCCTCTCTCAAATTTACCCAGGCAGGAGAAAAGAGTAGGACAGGAAGCTTAAAATGAGGTGGGATTCATCAGTAGCCTTTTCCTTAACCTCAGTTTCACGATTCAGCATTTCGGATGTAAATTTTCCATGTTGACGAGGCACTTTGTAAACATGACTTAATCCTCAATGCTGCTGTGAGAGAGGTAAATCTTAGTCCTATTTTTCAGATGAGGAAACGGTGAGTAACTTGCCTGAAGTGACAGAACAGAGACTATAATTCAGGAAATCCTGGCTCTCAGTCCTGTGATCCATCCACTAGCCAGTGCTGCATTCTTCAGCACACCAGATTTAGGCAGGATGGTGACATGACACAGTTGGGAGAGAGAGTTCATTTGGCTAAATGGGAAATCAATGTACAACTTCTCATAATAGGGCACTGAAATCTAATTTTAAAAATAATGAAGTGGTAGATAGAACCTGTTTCTCCCTGGACTCTGGCCTAATGGTTGCTCTGTAGTCTGCAGCACAGTGTAGGATACCTGAGTTCAAATTTATTGTAGTGGAAATAAGATTGCTCAAAAGTGGCTCCCCAAGCCAATTAGGGATCATCTCTGAGTGCTGCTCAGTTCAAATGAGGGGTTCCTCAGGGTTGTGAGAATGATGGCCACCGGGGAAAAGGAGGAAGAATCTGAGACAATATTTTAGAAAGTGTTTGTAACTTTCTAGATTAACAGCCCTGGACATTGGGCTCTGGACAACAGCCCTCTCGCTCCAAAACAGGCAAAGTAAAGGCAGAAGTAATGCAAGAGTCCCTTACGTGAAGGGATTACCCCTAGGAACAAGAGGGGATAATTCAGTTTCCATAGCCCATTCAGTCCTACATATCTCTGAGATTGCCAACCAAGATAACACAATGAGTGCCACACACTCATTTTGCATAGGATGCTGTCAGATGGTACCTACTGACCCAAATGGCATTAGAACAGAGGAATAAAAGATTGAAAAGCTCCCATCTCTGATCTCTCTAAGCAGAATCTGGTTTTGTTTCTAAAATGTCTGATAGCACTGAAGAGGTGGAAAATACTTTTGCCTCTGTTACAGCCCTGGTTGAATTTCCCCTGGTGAGCAGTCACCAGGCTGGGGTATTAGACCCAACCCACACGAGCGCTCTGGTTCATAGTTTAATTCATTGGGAACTAGGTGATGGTTACAGGAAAAACCAGATGGGCTTTGCAAAGTAGCTTCTTAAACACCCACACACTTCAATATTAGGAGGTACATGCGATTTACAGATCTGTGGAAGAGTAACAAACACCTGAACACAAGACCCTCCATCCAGTGTCCTTGCCATTCCTGAATATCATTTGGATTTTGGTCAGTGTCCTGCAGGGGTCCAGATCCCTCCCAGCCAACCTTACTCATTCTGGCAGAGAGAGTCTTTTTTTAAAACCAGTTTCTAACACCTCGTGGTCCTTCTGGTGAGTTTTTCCATTCTCCCACCCTCTGTGGGATTGCTTACAGAGGTTCATTAACAGTAAGTGGAGGAGAGCCTCCATCATCCTAATATGGGAAGCTTATTCAATTGTTGATGGTCTTCATTCAGGGTTAGACAGCTACGTGTCAGGCTCCTCCAATACAAGAGGGATGATGCAGTCTAATAAAACTGTTCCAAAATACAGTGAAACACAAGTTAACACTCAAAAGGGAGGCTGAAATAAAACATGGTGGGTTTTTTCCACAAAATCAATTTGGGGAAACCGATATAATCCCTAGCCTGTCACACACCTGAAAACCACAGTAAATCAAGAATTTAAAGTCAATGGAGCAGTCAGTGGAGAAACACTCGTAAATGAGATCAGAATCAGGTATTTTGTTGCAACCTGCAGTTCCTACTTAATGAGGGACACTCATAAATCATGAGAAATGGCACGGGGTTCCTCTGCTCCTGCTGCAGGATATGAAATCAGTTTGAGTGACTCATATCCTGCAGCAGGTGAGCGGGACCCAAAGAATGTAGCCACATGACAGTAGGCACCAATTAGTCTTTAAGTACCACTGTGATTCACCACGTGAACACTGAAAACATAACCATTCCATTCTTCCCAACAGGAAGCGCTAGAAGCCTGTCAGACCAGGATCTCCAAGATGGAACTTCAGCAGCAACAGCAACAAGTGGTGCAGCTGGAGGGCCTGGAAAATGCCACTGCCAGAAACCTGCTGGGTAAATTCATCAACATCCTTCTGGCGGTCATGGCTGTTCTCCTAGTCTTCGTCTCTACCGTGGCCAACTGCGTTGTCCCCCTCATGAAAACTCGCAACAGGACGTTCAGCACTTTATTTGTGGTGGTTTTCATTGCCTTTATGTGGAAGCACTGGGACGCCGTCGCTGGCTACTTGGAACGATTCTTGTCGCCCCCCAGATGATGGCGCAAGGAATCAGCTGCATCGCCCCACTGACCCACCTACCCTGGCGCTCACGGGCAAGTGAGCGCAGCAAAGATTAGTCAGCAACTCTTCCGCTGAAATTTTAAAGTGTCCGAGTGAATTTGTTTACATTTAGAATAACATTTTTCTCTGCGAGATGCATTGCAATAGTATTTTTTAGATTTTATTCAAGAACTCTTTTTGGCAAGAATCCTGGATAATTTTTATGTAGCATGGTTCTCTTTGGATGCAAATCTTAAGATTCTTTAAGTGTACAAAAGAATAAAATAAAAATTTGGAGCACACCAATGGGCAATTTAAATTATGGCTTGAACTACAGTACTAAACCTGTTAGGAAGAGGAGAACGTGGTTAGCTTAAAAATAGCAAAGATTAAGCTAGTGTGCACAGCCTTGTACAATGGTACCACAGCGAATCTGTAACGCTAATGTTTACTGTGAAGCCTGCTCACATTCCATGTCCGAATGTATGGATTCAGGGTGGCTTGTTTTTTTCCTTAATGAGAGAAAAAACAACGCACGGATCTCCCCCAACTCAACTTCTGGGTCGGCCATTTGTGCTGACCTGACGTACAGTAATTTTCTAGAAGGCCTGTTAAGTCTTGCTAAGCATACAAAGTGGAAGCGTCATGCTGTACACACAGTAACTGCACAGGCATACTACAGTATTTTGAAGTAGCCCTTTAAATACTTATCTTTAAGCAAAAGCCCTTGGTCGCACTTTTAAGGTTTTTTTTATATATGTATATTCACAGATTTAAAAAAAATCCGAACAGCATACTTGAAGAGTGTAATACTCAAACTCTCAGTGCTTCCTTATTGTTTCTATAATAGGATTTTTTATTATAATTATTATTATTATTATTGGGGGTTTTTTTGGAAGGGGTTGGGAGGGTCATTATTTTCCTCTTTAATAAAGAAGTGATGTTTTTTAAATGAAGAATTGCGTGAATAATTAAGTGTGAGCAGTCTTGTCCTGAAACAGTTTTGAGGAGGGCGGAAAGTAGTTTCTATTGACACCGGTCTGAGGAAGGAAGATCTATTCCCATGCCATTTAACTGTCCTTCTGTGCTTGCAGATGCAGCATCATGATAACTTCCTCCTTCTCCGCACATTTTTGTCATGCAGTTTTTTTCCTGTCCTTTTTGTGGGTGTGAGGGAGGCATGGGGTGTTAGATTTCTCATTCCCAAATCTGTCCACCTGGCCTCAGAATGTTTTCCTTAGAACAAGGAATTTCTCCTCATCCCTTTTTGGGGAAAGACAGATTCTTAAAGAGAGAATAACTATTAAAGGGATAGTTCGTTTAAACAACTGATCCTCTCATATTATCCCTGATAATTTATTTTTAAATGCACCTCTGATAACTGAAACCAAAGTTGTCATCCCATCAGACTGTGGTAAGATCATTGTCTTTATGTTTAGAACTTCTTTGTATGCTGTGTATCCATGTAGCCTGCCACATAGAGACCCCTTTCTTGCAGCCGTGAAGGCAAGGACTTAATACAGTTCCGTTGTCAAAGCACTAGAGGAAATGTCAGTTACAAATATGACTCAAGTCACAGCAACATCTTTTCCCAGTGATCTGTTGTTACTGGCAAGTTTTCATATTGAAGGATTTTTTTTAAAAAATCTGGCTCAGTATCTGTTTCCACTGGAAAAAAAGTCGTTTTTAGTTCCAGTGAAAGTCCTTGAGCACAAATAAGACTCGTGGATTCTCTTTCACATGGTTTGCAGTATTTAATCAGACTTCTTGTTCTCCTTCTCCCTTGGCCTAAATTGTATGTAGGAACCAAATTATGGCCAAGTGACTTAAAATGATATGTAATAGCAAGTATAGGAATTCATGCTATTGTGCCTACCCCAAGCCCCAGGAAATTCTCCAGACCTAGGTTAGCACCTCCCTCTCTGCTGGGAAGAAGGTCCTAATACTGTGATCACTGCCAGCCAGGAGAGGAAAGTTCCCTGCTGCCCAACCATCCTTGTTCCTCCTTCAGAGATTCAGCTTGTCACCTTCATAGCCACACTTCTGTCTTTAAACTCAGGTACCCTGTGACAATTCCAGCACACCTCACTTTGTCACTGTGCACTAATCCACTACTGTCTTTGTTAAAAACAAGTTGCCAGTTGCAACTGACTCAAGCCAAAAATAATCATTTCTATTTCCACAAAAGTTGCAGATAGAGAGCAGGTATGTATAAACAATTCCCTTAACAGATGACAGTTGCCAGCTACGGCAAAACTCAGTGGGGTTTAATGCCCTTGTCTGACTAAATTAGATCTATAATTTTCATCCACCCATATAAAAATACCCTGTTCCTGTTAGGTTTCCTCAGAAACAAAGGTAGGGAGATCAGAGTAATAAACCCTTGACACATGATCTAAGAGCTTTGTTGCCTCAATATTTCTGAAGCCCAGTCTTTGCACCTCTTTATAGTTTAGGTCACACTATAAAAGTTTACAGTTGGTTTAGTGCATGAACAAACTTGGGAATGAATTAAAAGCCAGCCGATTTTTACACTCATTTATCCCACATCCTGGTAATGTCTGAAGGAAGTATTTGCCTGTTTTCTGCTAGGTACCCTACCTTCAGTTACAGTCTCTGGGTGTTGTTGTGTTTAATCTTCTTTAGTAAAGAAGCAATTTGCCAGAAGTAATGGACTTAATAGAAACGTTCACCCCAAAACTGTTTTGTGAAGGCCATTTACTTGGTCCTGGACAATGTTGTCTGTCTGTGTCTCTCTCTCCAACAGTTTTCCATTCCAAAAAGTTGTCTGCAGTTAATGCCATATATGATGCTGCATCCATTTTTATTTTTTAATATTCTAACAGGACTAGTGTGAGGCTTTTTGCCTTTCATTAGCAGAATGTTTGGTTTATTTCCTCCCCCTTCAATCGGAAGTTCTGTGATGACTTCTAATAGTTTAACAATGATTATATTGTTGGAAATGTGATTCTAGCTTTAAAGCTCCTTTTCCTTGTTTGTGGGTTGTGTTCATTCTCTTTAAGGTGAAGCATTCCTGGATGACTTGTAGAAGACCATATCTTCCATGGGTGTGTGTGCATGTGAACCTTTTATTATCCTTCCCTATGTTTGTAAACTTGTGTGACCATCTCTTTGAGTTGGAGAACATTTCATGTTGGGAATTGAAACAATTCTGAAATTGCTTAGATATGTTTAGCACATATCACGGGGGCATATAAGGAAGGAGAGACTATAATGAACTGCATTAGTTCAAAAAGAAGTGACTGTTAAATGATATTCCATGGTTCAAATGAAGTTCACCTGCTCCCCCATCTCCTGTCTCATTGTGTTTAAAAAAAAAAAAAAAAAAATCCATTTTTAGACAGGTTTACAAAATTCTCCTTCCCTTGAGCTTCATTAATTTAATTATGCTGAGCATGTTCACGGCAATTACTTTATTGGTTTATTCCAATCTAGTGAATACTTAAGATCTGATCAGATTAAATGGTGAGTTCTGTACATTGTTGCACTGGGCCAGAAGAGAGACTGTCTTTCAGCTTTGAAAAATATGCATTTTTAAAATATTAAACAAAAAGCAGCATTATAACAGAAGAAGCCAAGCTATGAAGGGATCTGTGTTGAGATTGGATGGCTTTGCCAGTTTTAAGTGAATTCTGAATGTGGCTAGAGTTAAAAACCCTACGTGTGTCTGTGTTGTGTATGCCAGGTGGTATCGTAGTAGGCAATTGACTTAGCTGTAAGTGTGTTTTTTAAGTGTAAAAAAAATAAACAAAAACAGAAAAACTCACTTGCACGGTCTGAAAAGTACAGAAATGACACTTGTGAACGTAACACTGTAGTTTATAGATCTTAAGCTGCTAATTGTTGAGAGAGATTTACATATGTCTTGTCTGATCGTCACAGATTCATCTGCGACACTTTTACTGTATATAAAAAAATTTAAATAAAGACCTCAGCTATTAACTGTTTGTGGTTTGGTTGTTTTCAAAGGTAGTGTGGGTGACTGAAGACAGGGAAATGGTGAGAGGGCCTATTGTAATGCACTGAGACATTTCATAACCACGTAGAATTCAAGTCAAGTTCTCCAGAAGTCCCCAAACTGGACACCACCCTGTAATCAGAGACATACTGGGCTGTCACACAGGAAGAACCACCACCAATGTGTGTGGAGTCTTGGCCATTTCCCTTCCTGCAGCCCCCATTGGCCTGGAGTGGCGAACTGCGGCCAGTGGGAGCCGTGATCGGCCAAACCTGCGGGCGCGGCAGGTAAACAAACCAGCCCGGCCCGCCAGGGGCTTTCCCTGAACAAGCGGCGGCCCTAGTTTGAGAAACACTGCACTAGAGCAACTGTCTGCAAATCTAGGCACTAACATTACATAGGGGGAATAGACTGGTAGTTTCCTGGGATTCTTAGAGAAACAGACAAATGGCACAGAATGAGTTAGAGATCAGAAAGTAAAGGCGGCTGTTTGCCAGATGTTAACTCCCCACACATCTTCATGGGGCCATAGTGTTAATTCCAGCATCGTACTAGAGATTAAATATTCATTTCTTTTCTTCTCCTGCTAGACCCCTGGGCCAGCTGTAAAATAGGCATAATGCCTTCCTGGGTTGGTGTGAGGCTCAATGTTCCTGTATTACTTTTGGGTTCCTCTGGAAGGTGCTACTTAGAGCAAAGTAGTCTTATTGCTATTAGCTCAAGAGCAGAAAACAAGGGAGGGGCTGGATGGCTCAGAGTATTGGCTGTGGCCCTTCAGGTCAACGGTTTTAAATCCAGCCTAGTTGGGGGACTAGGAGTCATTACCATTTGGATGCTTTACAAAGGTCTATAAGAACATATGAACGGCCATACTGGGTCAGACCAAAGGTCCATCTAGCCCGGTATCCTGTCTTCCGACAGAGGACAGTGCCAGGTACCGCAGAGGGAGTGAACAGAAGAGGTAATCACCAAGTGATCCATCCCCTGTTGCTCATTCCAAGCTTCCGGCAAACAGAGGCTAGGGACACCATCCCTGTCCATCCTGGCCAATAGCCATTGATGGATCTATCGTCCATGAATTTATCTAGTTCATTTTTGAGCCCTGTTATAGTCTTGGCCTTCACAACATCCTCTGGCAAGAAGTTCCACAGGTTGACTCTGCGTTGTGTGAAAAAATACTTCCTTTTGTTTGTTTTAAACCTGCTGCCTATTCATTTCATGTGGTGACCCCTAGTTCTTGTGTTATGAGGAGTAAATAACACTTCCTTATTTACTTTCTCTACACCAGTCATGATTTTACAGACCTCTATCATATCTCCCCTTAGTCATCTCTTTTCCAACCTGAAAAGTCCCAGTCTTATTAATCTCTCCTCATATGGCAGAGGTGGGCAAACTATGGCCCACGGGCTACATCCGGCCCATGGGACCATCCTGCCCGGCCCTTGAGCTCCCAGCCAGGGAGGCTAGCCCCCAGCCCTTCCCCTGCTGTCCCCCCTCTCCCCAGCCTCAGCTCGCCATGCCGCAAGCGCTCTGGGTTCAGAAAAAGGCAACAAAAATTATTAGGAGCATTTTTGTTGCCCTTTTCTGAACCTTTTCCAATTCCAATATATCTTTTTTGAGATGGGGCAACCACATCTGCACACAGTATTCAAGATGTGGGCGTACCATGCATTTATATAGAAGTAATATGATTTTTTCTGTCTTCTCTATCCCTTTCTTAATGATTCCCAACATTCTGGTCACTTTTTTGACTGCTGCTGTACATTGAGTGGATGTTTTCAAAGAACTATCCACAATAACTCCAAGATCTTTCTTGAGTGGTAACAGCTAATTTAGACCCCATCATTTTATATGTATAGTTGGGATTATGTTTTCCAATGTGCATTCCTTTGCATTTATCAACATTGAATTTAATCTGCCATTTTGTTGCCCAGTCACCCAGTTTTGAGAGATCCTTTTGTAGCTCTTCACAGTCCGCCTGGGACTTAATTGTCTTGAGCAATTTTGTATCCTCTGCAAATTTTGCCACCTCACTGTTTACCCCTTTTTCCAGATCATTTATGAATATGTTGAATAGGACTGGTCCCAGAACAGACCCCTGGGGGACACCACTATTTAACTCTCCATTCTGAAAACTGACCATTTATTCCTACCCTTTGTTTCTTATCTTCTACCAGCGCTCTGGGTGGCGGGGCTGCAAGGTCCTGCCGGGCGGCACATCTGCCAGTCCTGGTGCTCTGAGCGGCATTGTAAGGGGGTGGGGAGTAGGGGGGGTTGAATAAGGGGCAAAGGGTCCCCGGGGGCAGTCAGAGGGCAGAGGGTGGTTGCGGGGGGCGGTCAGGGAACAGGGGGGTTGGATAGGCGTGGGAGTTCCGGGTGGCCTGTCAGGGGGTGGTGGAGTGGATGGGGTCAGGGCAGTCAGGGGACACGGAGCAGGCGGGGTTGGAATCTCAGGGGGCAGTTAGGGGCGGGGGGTCCTGGGAGGGAGCGGTTAGGGGACAAGAAGCGGGGGGGGGTGGATGAGTCAGGGGTTCTGAGGGGGGCGGGCAGGAAGTGGGAGGGGGCGGATGGGGGCGGGGGCCAGGCTGTTTGGGGTGGCATAGCCTTCCCTACCTGGCTCTCCATTCCGTTTCGGAACCCCAATGTGGCCCTAAGCCCAAAAAGTTTGCCCACCCCTGCTCTTATCCCATGACAGCTTATTTTGCTTAAGAGCCTTTGGTGAGGGACTTTGTCAAAGGCTTTCTGAAAATCTAAGTACACTCTATCTACAGTAACTCCTCGCTTAACGTTGTAGTGATGTTCCTGAAAAATGCAACTTTAAGCAAAACGATGTTAAGCGAATCCAATTTCCCCATAAGAATTAATGTAAAT